TGCAATATCAGTAGTTGTGTCTTCTTTCATTGTTTCAAATGTGTGCATAGGGTTCTTTCACAGTTTACAATTGACACTTTGTATTTTTTATTATGCTGAGCTGCTGCCCTGACAAGACCTTTAGATTCACTAAGCATATTCAGATCTCTTTCCACTTTTTAGCTTTGAGATACGACAGTTATATCAATCATCTCAAGACGTTTCCATTTTAGAGCGTAGGCTAAAATTAGCATATGTTTCAAAAAGCAAGAAAGTTCTAATGATAAATCTCCTTAGTAAAAGTCATAGGGAACTGGCCACATAGTGACTGTGTCTTGAAAGGATCCCTTTGTCCTACCAGATCTGTTCATTTTATTCAATGATAATGTCTTAACTACGGGGGAAGTGTTAACTACTGAAGAGAAAAACCCAGATTTTTCATGTTTTCTTGCCTTGAGTACACAGAGATATTTTTCATAATATATGGCTGTGCAGGCTACCTGCAGTGGTACAGATAGTACAGGTACTCCTCGACTTACGAGCACAATTGAGCCAAAAAATTCTGTTGTTAAGTGAGATGTCTGTTAAGTGAGTTTTGCCCCATTTAACAACTTTTCTTGCCACAGTTATTAAGTGAATGACTGCAGTTGATAAGTTAGTAATCTGGTTGTTAAGTGAAGCGAGCATCTCCATTGACTTTGCTTGTCGGAAGGTTGTAAAAGGGGAATCCCATGATCTTGGGACATACCAAAGGCCATAAATATGAACCAGTGGCCAAGCATCTGAGTTTTGATCACATGATTCTGGGGGATGCTATAAAGGTTGCAACTCTGAAAAAATGGTCATAAGTCACATTTTTCAGTTCTGTTGTAACTTTGAATGTTCACTAAACAAGCTGTTGTAAGTCGAGGATTACCTGTTATTTTCTGAGTACAGCATTTCCTTTTCTACACAGAAGCTTATTCTCAATTATATCTTTCACATCTAGTAAAATACTTGAGAATCCTGGTATCAATGTGGTACTTTTCCAGTCTAGTCTCTTTTGTCTATACCAGTGGTGGTGAACCTATGGCACGCGTGCCAGAGGGGGCACTCAGAGCCCTCTCTGTGGGCACACGTGCCATTGCCCCAGACCCGCCTCCTCCCGCGGCCCTCTCCTCACCAGCAGCCCCCCAGAGGAGAGTCGGCCCTGGGTGTGGTCCGCGTGGAGCAGCACAGCCAAGGACATGGAAGCCTGGCAGTGGGGACAAGACTCCGCCCTCAAGCCCCATCACATGCAGATGATGCTGCAGGGCGCAGGTGGAGGGCGTGGCCACATGGCGCTGCTGGGCCGTCTGGGCGATCTGCTGCGGTGGGTCGTGGAGGTGGGGGGTGGCCCTGCAGGTGGGGGACAGGGCACTCGGTCTCTAAAAGGTTCAGCATCACTGGTCTATACAGATAGAAAACATAGAGCTGGCTCTAAATTCATAGAAGTCAGCACTTCAACAGCTGCTTTAGGGCAACTCATTACTGCTTGATTTTTCCCCCTGGTGCACAAGTAGTGTTGAGAACCCCAGTGCCATCATTAGCTGTTAGGCGAAATCTGGAATTGCAGATACTAATTACAGATTTCGTGTAGTACTGGAGCTCATGGAAGCAAAGTCAGTATTGGCTGCCAGTAAACATTTCTGGATAAGTTTTATTAAATCAAGATACAGGTAGTCCTCAACTTACAACAATTTGTTTAGTGACCATTCGAAGTTACAATAGCACTGGGAAAAATGACTGCTGACTGTTCCCAGGGTCATGTGATCAAAATTCAGACGCTTGGCAAATGGCTCGTATTTAGGATGGTTGCAGTGTCCCAGGAGGTCATGGGATCACCTTTTGCAACCTCCTGCCAAGCAAAATCAATGGAGAAGCCAGATGCGCTTACTAACTGTGTTACTAACTTACCGTAACAACTGCAGTGATTCACTTAACCCATGTGACAAGAAAAGTCATAACACGACCAAAACTCACTTAACAACTGCTTCACTTAGCAACAAAATTTTTGGGTTCAGTTGTGGCTGTAAGTCGAGGGCTATCTATAGCTGGTTTATTAGGACAGGAACAAATGAGAGCCTGGCAGATATAAAAGTTCTGTTGCTGTAGAATACAGTAGCTTTTTTCTGAGCTGTTTATATTATGATTTTGTTCCAGCTGTTACTTTTAGTTCCATCTAAATGCTAAACATCATGACAAAGCCTGTCTTTTACTCCTTTCTTTTACCATCTTCCTTGTATCACTCACTTTTCCCTGCGTTTATATAGACACAACTAATTCTGAAGTTCTTCAGTCATAATGGTATTTAAGCAGCACATCTGCTAGCTTTCATCAATTTTCCTAGCTGAGCTTATGGAAACCCCTAGGGAGTACAGTGAAGCATTCGTTATAACTGAATAGCTGAATTTTGGTTAGTTCTGTTTTGGGTGGAGGTTAGTCTTCCAAACCAGGGACCAATGTCTGATTTAGGCTCTTTTGCCGTAGCTGTGTTGTTACGAAGTTGAACTTACCAAGGATGTCTTATCAGTTCTTTGCATGACCCATGTTGGTATATGTGCATATGTGTGAGAGAGTTGAGCATAATGTGTAAATAAAACTATTTTTTGTTCAACTGGCATTTTTTTCCCCCTCATTCACTTTTATCTGCTCTACCATGGTGCTTGAAAAATCGTCTTAATTTAGCTTTTCTTGATATTCAGTGCTTCGTTATATATGGTTCAAATCAAAACCGACAATTTTCCTTAGTTGAAACTTCATATTTTGTCTTACCTATGCAAAGGGAGATAAGCTAGGCAATGCTGGTATGATCATAAGTGAAGTCTATACATAGCAAGAGCAGACTGAAATTTAATTTTGGTCTCTTCTAAAACTAGTATCTGCTTTTATATACTATTAGTCTTGACTTTTTCTACAGCTTTTGCTGAACTTTGCTGATGTCCTGCATATCTCTGAATGGAATGATGTGTTAAATATGAATAAGTCTATCAGCTTCAAGCACATTCTTATACTGTGGATTTCACTTTTTGGGTGGGGATTGATTTTATGTAGCTCCAGGCAATTGATATGGAAACAAAATATTTTTATATATCTGGCATAATTGTTGTTTGTCCCATATTTAGGGTCAGACTTTAGCCAACCATTTAGCTTTCTATTGAAGCTGATGGAATTATTTCAGTTACTTTTCTGAAAGATGCATTTTTTAAAGCTATTAGTTATATCTAAGGATTCTAATATTGCTTATTATCCGGAAAAACAGCAGGGCATCTTGCTTTTTTTAAAAAAAATTGATGTTTATCCTCTGATAGAAGTTGAGATATTTTTCTGCAATGTTGGCTTCCAGCAAGCTATTTCTTTTCTTTCTTTCATGATTTTTTTTAATGTATCCAAGAAAATATGCAGCTTTAAAAAAAATGATCAGATTTGTGTATTGCTTGCAAATTGTTTCTTCAATGGTTGAGGTGCATTGCTGATTGATGTGGTTTTATTAAAACACTTTGGGGGCATTTTAAACCTTGGTAGTTGTCTGCAATTTCTGCGGTCTTGGGATTGTTCACAGGAGTTGGTAAATATGTTGTCTTGTTTAGAGAGGGGTTTTTTTTCCTATTGATTGTTAACAGATTTAATCTTAAACTCCTCTCCCATTTTTCTTCAGCTCTTTGCCATTTTTGCCTTTGGAGCCTGTGGTTCTTTCAGTGCAGAAACAGGGGCTACTGTGAAATGTACCAAGCCCCCTAAGGAGACAACTGCTATTACTGTGCAGTTTGGATATCCTTTCAGGTAAATGAAAAGCTGACTGAGTACAGATATGGAAGATATAATGTGAAATTAAACACTGTTGGTAATAGCCTCTGATAAAGGGAAAATGGTTAAGTTATATTTCTTAGGGTTTTTTTTAATGAAAAAGTCCTTAAAACCTTTTCTGTGACAAGTAATTCTTTAACTATAATTGCTCAATATTGCAGGCTATTTTTCAAACTATTCCTCTGGAATTGCCTTAAGTCTCTTAACTACTGATTCAAAATAAATCGAATTAAGCGGTGAAAGAATTGTATCATTACTACAAGGATGACTGGAAACTGCTCTGCAGGGTGTTACAGCCAGAAAACTCATTTAAGCATTTTAGCTTGAGTATGCTAATTTTTTTTCCCTTTTCAGTTTGTTTTTTTTAAATGCCTCCAATTTTTCAGATCACTTCTGAGAATTCTTTTTTGTTTTTAAAGTGACTTGTCACGCAGCATAGAGTATTACTACTCAGGAACCAAGGCCAATTGTGCCTTGATTGCACAGAGCAGATTTTATAGAGCTCTAGATCCCTTTTCTTTTTTTCACTTGTTCAGAGATTTGGAGACTATTCGTGCAGAAAAATATAATTCATCTAAGAAACTAGTGTATGCATGCCACAATAGAAACCACTTCTGACCCATTCATTGTTTAGACACAGTAGTCAGCCAAGTGGATATTGGATCTTTGATGATTGAAAAAGAGATTCAGTGACTTGTATACTATAAATAAGCTACATTCCATATATTGGATATTAATTTTTTTTGTAAATTCAAAGGCAAATTCTTTCCTAAAAACAATAATTTGGACAAAGGAGGAGTTAGCCTTTCTGATTCCTTAGCCTACATAAAGCTATGTAAGCCTTGTGTTCTTTGATTTCACAATGGGATGCATGGGAGAAAGCTGTGCCATACCTCTCTCACTTTCTTTCTTTTATTATTCAAATAATAAATCTATTCCCAACCATGTAGACTGTAAAGATTAAGTCTATCTTCAAATCAAACTTGTTCTGGTGGCTTCGTGGTTATGACCATGCATTAAAATGATTCATTTATTACATGGCTGTGACCATGCAGTTTTCTTAGCAACAATAATAGAAGAATTTTGCAATTGGAAACTTTCTAATTTCTTTTATTTTAATTTGTTAAAATAAAATGTTTTATTTTAATTTCCCAGTCTAGCCTATAACCCTGGGAAGCTCTGGTAGTCTTTTATGGTGACAAAACTAGTGGACCAAAGGAATGCTGTGGATATAATTTATTTGGACTTCAGTAAGGCATTTGATAAAGTAAACCACAACCTACTACTTGATAAGACAGAAAAATGTGGGTTAGACAGCATCACCACCAGATGGATTCGTAGCTGGCTGACCGGCCGTACTCAGCATGTGGTCCTCAATGGAACCGCATCTATATGGAGGGAAGTGTGTAGTGGGGTGCCCCAGGGCTCTGTCCTGGGCCCAGTGCTCTTCAACATCTTCAACGATTTGGACGAGGGGGTAGATGGGGAACTCATCAAATTTGCAAATGATAGCAACCTTGCAGGAATAGCCAACACTCCAGAAGACAGGCTTAAGATACAGGAGGATCTTGACAGACTTGAACATTGGGCGCTATCTAACAAAATGAAATTTAATAGTAAAAAAGTAAGGTTCTACATTTAGGCAAGAAAAACCAAATGGACAGGTACAGTGTAGGGGGTACCTTGCTCAATAGTAGTAACTGTGAAAGGGATCTCGGAGTCCTAGTGAATAGTCACTTAAATATGAGCCAGCAGTGTGCTGCAGTTGCCAAAAAAAGCCAACACAGTGCTAGGCTGCATTAACAGGGATAGAATGAAAATCACATGAAGTGTTAATACCATTTTATAATGCCTTGGTAAGGCCACACTTGGAATATTGCATCCAGTTTTGGTCACCACGATATAAAAAAGATGTTGAGACTCTAGAAAGAGTACAGAGAAAAGCAACAAAGATGATTAGGGGACTGGAGGCTAAAACATATAAGGAACGGTTGCTGGAATTGGGTATGTCTAGTTTAATGAAGATGGATATCCAAGTATCCATTAGGCCTAATTTTGCTTAGCTTCCAGGTTCAAACATGTGCTACCACCTTCTAGAGACAAATGTTTTAAATTCAAGGCGTAAAAGGGACATTCCCATGTGAGAAAATTCTTGTTACACAACACTAACAGTGAATTAGAAAATGCATTGCAGTGGGAGAAAATACTGTGATCTTCAGAAAACTTTGTAGGTGAAGAGGTTAACCCAAATGTATTATTTTCGGGGCCCTTATTTCTAGAAGTATGCCATTTGTTATTTTGTTTGGGGATGTATCTGTTCAGTTCTGACAGCTAGAAATGAACCCTTCCTTCTCCCAAGATATCAGAATCTCCAATAAGAGTTTATCCTCATTATAGACATATTCAGACAAGCATTATCATCAGCCTCCATCCATGCCTCTATTTAAAAAGGGCCCATGTCTGAAATAGCTTGGTTAGAGACAACCAGATGAGGTGAGAATTCTGTTTCCAGCTGGGTACCTTGTTTCCAGATCGGCATCATCTCCAAGAATGGCAGGTGGAGGTCCCAGCTGCCTTGCACTTGTATCTCAGCATGTGGTTTTGGGAGTAGTTTGATTCCTTTCCGCCCCACCCCCCACCGTGGTTCAAATATATTAAATTGTATTTCAAATGATATGTGGGGGAGAGCTGGATAAAAATAATATAGTCTAAAACTTTGAGAGCACCACTTCCCGAGGGCAATTTTCATTGAGGAGTTTAGCAGATGTCAGTTGAATTTATGCACTTTATGCACATGGCTGTACTCTGTGGATTAACCCCTGGCAAATCAGAGTGTGTAGCAGAGTTGTATCATCTGAATTAAATTACAATAATAATTATGGTACAACACTCCTGAACTGTTGTTTCCATTTTTCCTTTCCTCTCACTTCCAGGTGAGCTTTACCAGCTGCGTAGGAAACTGCTGTGTAGCCAGAAATACAATAAAGCATTTTGAGAACTCTGATTTGCTTCAAGAGGAAAAGGAATATATATTTTTTGTTACAAACTTAAAAGCAGCCCCTGACCCAATACAACTGTCATTTATTGAGGGGTATATAAACCAGTAAAAAAATATCAGCAGTTCTTTATCTAAATCTTAGTGGTCAGACTTGGTGGCATTGGTGATCCATGTCCTTGCCAAAAACAAGAGGCAGCACTAGAGTGTGGATAATATCCTTAACTTCTTTTTAGTATGCCAGATCAGATAAAAGATTATATTTTTCTGGAGCACAAATCAGCACAGTGAAAACTTTGTACATTACAGATGCCCTCACAAGGCTTTTGGATAAACAGAAACAAGATCTAAGTTGGAATGAAATCAGTGCATGAAAGATCTAACATGGTTATATCTGTGTGCATCTTTCCCTCCCTGCCAACATCTGATAGCTATAAATAGAGGCATGTCTGTGAAGTATTTTAAAATGCCTTTGACAAGAAGGGGAACAAATTGGAAGGGCTGTTGTGGTACTGGCAGGGACGGTTCAAAACAAAATACAGTATCTTAATGAATTGTATATGGGTTGAAAAACATTTTAGGTGGAATAGATTCCTTCCTCCCCATCCTTTGAGGCCCTTTTGTCTCTTGAATTCAGAATTATGTTAGGCATGGTTGTCAAGGATATAAAACCTCTTTTCTCATAGATGTATCTTCATTGCAACAAATTCTGTACATGCACTGTCAATTGTTAAACTACCATTACAGCAAACCCATAAATTATGGTTTGCAACAGAAACATCTCAGACAAATGCTTCTCCTTTATAATTTTTCCAAAATGCATGTTCAATAAGAGTATTAATATGGAAATAGAATAAGGCAGTCCATGATGTGATACATGGATGTGTTGGAAGCAAGGAGAGTTTGCAAGTACAGAAAGTTATAAAGATGCATTGAGAAACTAGATTTAGCTGTATTTTTTTCTTAACTCATCCCTTTTTTTGACTTTTTAAAAATCTTTTTTTTACACTTTACATACAGTAACATTGCTTACTCCAAAAGGGTTTCTCCTTACATAAATTGAAAAATTTAAAGTAACATCTCTTTAACTCGTTAATTCTGATAATCTTTTTCAAAGAAGGCTTAGCTACTTTTAATTCTCATTTGTTAAAATTGGTGATGGGGTTTGAGAGAATCTGCCATTTTATTAGTGTGGTTATTGGCAAGAAAGCTTGATTTATCATAAAGTCCTAGATGGGTGTACAGTAAACAGAATTGGATAGGACATGAGGCAGTCTCATAAAATCTGGAGCCAAACCGTTGTTCGGAAGTTTCTTTCAGACAGCTGTTTTAAAAAAATTTGCTATTCGGGACTTTTCATTTTTGTCTCTAAGAAAAATATTTAAAACCTGCGAAATATATTTTAACAAAGGTGGGAATGAAGCAAATGTATTTTCCCCCATGCAGATAATAATAATAATAATAATAATAATAATAATAAATTTAATTTATATGCCGCCCTTCTCCCAGCGGGACTCAGGGCGGCGCACAACATATTTAAAACAAAACATAAATACATTCCCCCCCGATAAAACCGAATTAAATCAAATTTTAAAGTTGTGTCTCTGTCAAATTGTTAAAAGATAAACCCCAAATAAAATCCTCC